TTTTTCTTTTTGCTTATGTGGTGCTGAGGAATCGAACCCAGGGCCTCATGCATGCAAGGCAAGCACTCTACCACTGAGCCACCTTCCTAGCCCCATTTTTGAGACTTTTTGGAAAAGAACTGACTACCTGAAAAATCCTATACATTTGACTTAAATAATGTAATGAGAGCTTAGTAAAGTGGTTGTATAAAAGATCAATATATAAAAAGACCTTGCCAGTTGATTATACCATTCACTCACAAGAGAATATATGGCTCTGAGATAAACATTTGGATAAGGCTTGTGGTGAGCATGCATTTTCATTTCAATGGGGTAAATCTATAGGGGTGCAATTATGAGTCCAATAATGGGTGCATACTTAATTTTGCATAAAAACTGCCATACCACTGGCCTAAAATCATGAGACTAACTGATCATGTACTGGAATCCTCAAAATTGTGAACTGAAATACATTTCTTCTCTTTTGTGATTTGATTATCTTAGATGTGTTGTGATAATGATGAACAACTGGTTAAGGTAATGCTCTATACCAAGGTAACTCTTCCTTTCTGTCCCACTCTTTCTATGAGGTTTTATAACGAATGCATATTGAAGTTGGTCAAATGCTTTGTGCTGATTGATAAGAACACATGATTTTTCTTCTTAAATCTGTTAGGTACTCACACAGAATGATTTTTCAATTGGTAAGACAACTCTGTATGTTTAGAACACAGCTTTATAATTTGTTTAATAATAGTTTAATTTTTTTTGTTGTTGTTGTTGGTCGTGGGGGCTGAACTCTAGGCCTGGGTACTGTCCCTCAGCTCTTCAGATCAGGGCTAGCACCCTACCACTTGAACCACAGTGCCACTTCTAGCTTTTTTCTGCTTATGTAGTACGGTGGAATAAAACCCAGGGCCTTATGCATGCAAGGCAAGCACTCTACCCCTGAGTCAACTTCCCAGCTCAATAGTTTAATTTTTATCAATTTTATTTTTTTGTTTATGTGATACCAAGGAATTGAACTCAGGGCTTCATGCAAGCATTCTACCAACAAGCCACAGCTCCACTTCTGTTTTGGGTGGTGGGGGTAGTTAATTGGAGATAAGAGTCACACTGACTTTACTGCCTGGGCTGTCTCCTGAGTAGCCAGGATTACAGGCATGAGCCACTTGCTCCCAGCTCATCTCTGCATTCTTTTTTTTGTTGTTGTTGGTCGTGGGGCTTGAACTCTGGGCCTGGGCGCTGTCCCTCAGCTCTTCGGCTCAAGGCGAGCGCTCTACCACTTGAGCTACAGCGCTACTTCTGGTTTTCTGGTGGTTTATTGGAGATAGGAGTCTCATGGTCTTTCCTGCCTGGGCTGGCTTTGAACCGAGATCCTGAGATCTCAGCCTCCTGAGTAGCTAGGATTACAGGCATGAGCCACCAGCGCCCGGCTTCATCTCTGCATTCTTTTTTTTTGGGGGGGGGTCCAGTTGTGGGG